GGCGGGGGGCGCGGCGGGGCGGCGGCGGGGAAGCGGCAGAGGCAGATGAGCATCACCGCGCTGCTGAGCAAGCAGCCGTGATGAGGGTGCCCGGCGGCTGCGCCTGCATGTGCTTGCCTGGTGCTCAGGATAACTGACGAGTGATTCCAGGGTTTCGTGGCTTGTGATGGATTATTCGATGCTGAGGCAGGGCGCTGATGCTACATGTGACTTTGGCGTTGCCCTCCTGCATAACCCACATTGCGGAACGCTCCCAGGTGGCTTCGATATAGTTTGCAGCTGGGATTGCAGTTGCATTGCGCATTTGCCGCGCGCACCATGCGCAGTCGCCACGCAAGGTTTCTTTCACCCCAGCTTTCGGGTGCGTGGCGCCGCGCGACTGAATCACAAGAATCCGCCCGGTGGCGCGTGTGTGGTGGGAAGGAAGGCAAGGGGACAAGTGACGTAGTTTACAAGGGGGGGGGGCTTGACCCATCAGGACAGGTCCTGAGCATCTCAAAAACGGATGTTGGCCCAGCAAGGGGCAGGGACAGGCGCTGGAAGAACAGCCTGCTCACGCAAGTTCGCTGAAAGTCTGCCGCAAAGCGTTGTGGCAAAAGCAGCAACAGGCAGCACGCGACGGGCATTGTCTGGCTGTCAGGGCAACTCAGTGCAGCGGAGAGTATCATCAGGCGGGCAAAGAGGGCAGGAAAGCCTGGCACAAGCGTGCAGCACAATGTTGTATGCGTGGCAGAAGCACACACCACACACAATTGCATGAATCAGCGCTCCAAGCGAAGTGGCAAGGCAGGGAACAAGCAAGCAGGCGTGCGGGCACAAAAAGTGTGCTGAATGAACCAGATTGCTCGTATCCGAAATTTGCGCAGCAGAGCCGAGGGCATCGTGTGGGCAGCGGATGATTAGCGCAACACCCTGGGGCCCGTGACAGCTGGAGAGTCGGCAGTTGCAGAGGCATCATCCGAGTTGCAGTCACGCTCGGCGTTGTGTTGTCTTTGGCCTATGTGCGCGGCAAAGGCGCACCAAGCGGCGCTTTCAATGAAAATCAAGTGTTAGACGGCAAGCTTGAGGAACACACAAGACTGCGCTGTGCAGCGACAGCCATCTCCGTCGCAAGAAACAGGCGCGTGATATTAGCAGAAGGAAGCTGCACAGACCCAGCTGTCTTGAGGTCCGACAACACAGTGCTCCCTCAAAACCCTGTTGCGAGCTCGCAGGCCAAATCTTAGGTCGTGCCACAACCCACCGCAGGCTGCGGCGCCGCGCCGGCGGGTCCCCGCAATCAGGATCCGCTCGCGCGCGGCCGCCCCCAGCCCTCGCGGCGCTGCCCTGCCGCGGGGCCGCGCCCCTTCGGCGCCTGGCTCAGCCCGAGGTCTTGCCGACCGCGACGGCGGCGGAGTGGCTCGATATCAGATTCCCATACTCCGGAAGGTAGACAGACAGCAGCTTTGCCAGGCCCAGGCCCGAGTTCGGGCCCAGGCGCCAATCGCGCTGCAGCTCGCAGGCCACCGCGAACCAGTTGATGAGCACGGCGCCCGCGCCAGTGGCACGCGCGAGCGCGGCGTCGCGGACGGGGGCGGAAAAGGTGCCGCTCGCGTCGGTGACGATGTACACCTCGTAGCCCTCTGCGGGTGGCAATTGGGCGGCGGCGGGAGAGAGGGGGTCGGGGTCGAGGCGGGCGGCAGTTGTTTCAAGGTTGGGAGGCGTGCTTGATGGTGAGGGGTTCGACGGCTGTGGGAGTTGGTTCGTGCGGCGGCGGCGGCGCATGCCGCGTTCACAAGGCAGCAGCAGCAACGGCAGCGACGCCGGCATCAGCAGCAGCCCGCGACGCGGCCCCAATCCAGTGCGCACCGGCGAGGGCGCTGAGCGTGGGGAAGAGCACGCAGACATCGGTGACAATGCCGGCGATGAGCAGCTTCTTGCGGCCGGTCGCCTGAGGGTTTGGAGGTTTATGAGTTGGTGTAGGTGTGGGTGTGGGTGTGGGTGTGGGTGTGGGTGTGGGTGTGGGTGTGGGGATGCGGGGGGAGGGAGGTGGCAGCTGCCAGCGGTGCGTCACGGAGTCGCCGGAGACGGCATCAGGACTGGGTCGAAACCCGACAGAGGCGCTCGCGAGAGCACGCCGACACCGCCCCCATCCGGGCACGTCGGCGCTCGCGCAGCAAGCGGACGCACGGCAGCGAGAAGCCCCACGCGCAAGCGCGGGGACCCTCACACTTGCGCGCATGCATGCAAGAGCGCGCGCAAACGCGCCTTGACGGCCTTCACAAAGTCTGTGTTGTCCCACGCGTTGATCTCCCCCGGCCTCGGGATGAGGGTGGCGTTGGGGAATATCGCGCGGATCTCCGGCAGGATGGGCCCATTGGGGCCGCCTGCGGACACCGCGCAGAGGGGAGGAGGGTACATGTAGCAAGCACGGTGTCAGGGATCGCAGGGTTGGGGCAGCTGCGCGCTTCGTCAAATCGAGGGCGCCGCGGCGGCCGTGCGTTTGGCACGCGGTGAGGTAGACAGCGGGGCGAGGGCGAATCTGCACGCGCGCGCGTGTGGGCCAGCCCACCCTCGAGGCTGGTGGTGAGGATGGTGGGGACGCCGTAGAGCTTGGCCGTGGCGGCGAGCGCGAGGACGTTGGTCTTGAAGTCAGTCACCGATGAGTCACGCACCAGCTGGAACAGACCCGTCTGCGCCGTACGATTGGGTTGTGTATGGAGCGCGGGATAGGGTTCATGGCGGGCGAGTCGCGAGTCGGAAACGGCACGAGGCCCTCGCGCCGGCGGCGCAGCAGGGGCCATGGTGCGCATTGGGAGCGGCGCGAAGCGCAGATCAGCACAAGCACGCGTCGAGACTTGCCACTGACGCTGGAGCCGCTGAGTCACACGCCCCCGCCCCCTCCCCCTCGCTGCGCCCTAGACGCCCCAGAGGCTGTCTAATGGGCGTGGCGGAAGCACCGCAAAAGTCAAGAGGAGCGCCAGCAAAGAGCAAAGAGTGCTGGGCGGCCCCCGGCGCCGCGCCCCCCCCCCACACACCTGGTGGTCCAGCAGCAGCAGCACTGCATTCTTCGCCGAAATGCGGTTCTCCTTCACCTGCTGAGCTGGCTTGCTCAGGATGCCGGTCGCCTGCGGGGGCCGGGGCGCGGGGCCGGGGGCGGCGCGCGGCGGCGGCTTGGCTGGGTGTGCCGGCTGGGGGCGGCGTGCATGAGCGGCAAAGACGTATCAGCTGGGTGGTTGCGAGGGGGTGGGTGGCTGGCGGCGCCCGTTGCAGTTGTCCGGTGCGGCGGGGCGCGG